ACAGATAATGAGATATGATGGGATGGGACCCAAGTATAAACATGGCATTTATTTATGCTCATATATATCTTATAGACATAGCCAAAGGGTAATTTATACAATACTTTTAGTGTGCCTGCATCTTGCCAATGACCAATCACATCGGGTTGGATGTGACGTCATGTCAATGCTCAACATTCCAGATCTGGGAGCATTTTAGATTTTATATTAAGGATGTTCAACTTTTATCACTCGCTTTCTGCTGTCCCCATCATAGTATTTAGAAGAATGCTTCTCATTCGCCCTAACCTTTTGATCATTTCATAATGGGTCCAAAGTGATTTGGGGAAATAACTAATGATATCACTAGTAAGTAGATCACAAGAAATGGCCTTTTCTTTTCTTTGGAAAACAGGAAGATATATTACAAATATCAATGAATTCCTAGTTCAAAAAAAGCTTGCAACATCCTCAGAAGCACTTTAATAGATGTTGGTCCTTATTTCCTTATCATAAAATGGATCTCCCATTTAAAATAACATTAAAAATTCAAACTTACACTGAAAATGGAATATTCTAACAAGGAGTGGAATAAAATACAAATAAATTGAGGCAGCAGAAGAGTAAATACAAGTCACTTCCAATATCATGTGAGGGGTGGACACAGAGCTCAGTGGTAGAGCACCTGCCTAGCATGAAGGAGGCCCTGGATTCAACCTATAGTACTTTAAAAAATAAATAAGTGATATAACTCAATCATACAAAATTTACATTAATATAAGGCTAATAAAATCTCTCTTTTTGTTTGAGTTGTTTGCTTATTTGAGATAGAGTCATGCAGTGTATCTTTGGCTGATCTGGAACTCTATGTAAACCAGGCTCTCCTTAAATTTAAGAAAATCTTCCTGTCTCTGCCTTGCAAGTGTGGAAATTAAAGGCATGAGCCACCACACCTGACTTTAAAGACATTATCTCTTGTCCACAATTCCCAAGATCCAAGAGTTGCTCACCAATAGTATGAATCCAAATTTTCATTGTCACAAGTTATGTTGTTCAAGGTGCCTTATTACAGAGGTTTATAGCAGTTGACTCATGCTAGAATAATTGTTCCAGCCTCTGACAGTTTCTTGATTAGCATCAGTCACTGAAGAGTTTCTACTCAAGGAAGTAAAATAATTTGATGTCAGGATTTTGGGTGGGAGAGGGGTGTTTTTGTTTGTGGAGACAGGATCTTGCTATGTGTAGCCAGGCTGGTCTTGAACTCCTGATTCAAAGGTTTGGTGTGTTTTAAAAGCAACTTCTTAAACAACACAAGTTAGAACAAAAGTCAGCAAGGAAACTTGAAAGCTACGTCTGAACAATAGAACTGGGAGCACAGCCTTTGGGGAGGAGGATAGGGATATGGGGCTGGAGTGGTTCATTATCTTCTGAGAACTGCAGAGACACTGTATTTACTGTATCGTTAGTAGGAACAGTGCTAGTTTTAAAATAGATGGATATTTTTAAAGTCAGTGCATGTTCACTGCCATATGTCATCCTTCAAAAAAATTTAAAAAAAAACAAAAACAAAAAAACCCCCGAAACAACAACAACAAAAAACCAGGCAGGTAGAAAACTAGGACTCCGGATACTTTTCCAAAAATATGGTTTAAACAGAAATGTGTGTGTTAGGCACTATGAAAAAAGTACATTGTTTAATGTATTCTGAGTCACTGCCATTTTTTAAGCAACCATCTCTGCCTTAACTTTTCAAATTAAAATTACCAAGATAATGATGCCAAATCACCACTGTGAGACACTAATTTGCTGCACAAATTTGGGTAGCACACAAGAACTGCTCAGCTAGAACTGTATCTCCTTAGTTGATTTCATTACCACTTAGACACAAGCATCTGATATGGAAGGTGTTATCTTCAATCCATTTAGAAGATGGAATGATGTAAGACTGATACTCCTGTCTATCTATAAGACCAACGAAAGAACTTAGTAGATAATTAGATTTTAATTCTAAAAAATTTGGAATCTTTTTTCAAAGCCAAAACTATCTAACACTGGCCCAGGAATACGGTACAAGCTGGCCAGGATCTCTCTGCTCATATGTAAAGTCTTCACGAAACACTTTAGAACAGTCACATTGCCTAGGCTTGCCTGCCATTTATTGTTATAGAAAGTCCCACTGAAACATACACTAGATTTGTTATCAGTAATACAATTACATCTGAAATGCAGTATTCCCCAGAGTATCCCAGGTGATCCCCAGCCCTAAGGCTCATGCAATATTAATTCATTGTGGAAGGAACATTGTTCAATATGTCAAATCTTTGCACTCAGCATTACTTTCCACTGAGGTCCCTTAGCAACAGACAGGCTCAGAATTATCCCTGTTTTGCATAGGTATGGCATACTTAGGTAAGACATCTTGCTTGCCTTAAAGCATCAGTTATGTGAAGTGCATAATGTTAAAAAAAAAAAAAAGCATTCAATGATACTTAGGAAAGAACAGCAAGGCACACTTTATTCAAGTGTAGGTGTTGGACCACTGAAGTAGAAATTTGCAATCAGGGAAAGGCTAGGATCAACCCTGAACACAGCATGGTCAAGTAGGAGTGTATAGCCAAGAACAAGGTGAAGGTCAGTGGATGAAAAATTACAGAGGAAACATCAGAAGTAAGAAGGGGAATTCTGGCTTAAATGACCTAACAAGATTCTTGCTGCAGTTAGGCCAAGGTGATCAGTATCATCAAGGGGAGTAGTTAACATGAGGAAAATGGGCAGAGCTGGGGGTGAGGATAAGGCTTCCTCACTAAACTGACTTAGCAGGTTTCTTCACTAAAACTGCATTTTATGAGACTGCCCAGAGAGGCCTGGGAGAAGGTTCAGTAGTATAACTAAAATCTGGCAAAGCAAAGCATTTCTATCAATATATTCAATAACCTAGGCAGAAAAGACAAATAACTTGATTAAAAGAAAAAGATGCCATGCATGATTTCTAAGAAGAACAATAATTCCAACCACGTTAACTCAGCAAGAGAGGCAGCGTGGGAACCATGATTTAAAGGAAGAAAAGACATCTGACATAGAGATACAGCAGTGGGGCGCAAAGGAAAGAAAGGCCATTCAAGGAATTTCCCTAAATACTGATAAACAGGTCAAATTCCTTGGCACAGGAAATCACTTCATACCAAAAAAAGTTTCCAAGTTCCAACTAATGACTGAACTGTAAACAATGTTCAAAATAAAAAAATTCTAGAACAATGAGAGATTTTGGATACTCACCAAATTCATAGCACCATTTCTAGCATTTAAATCCTTAAGATTTACCCTCTTAATTTTTTACCCTACATAAATCTCAAACATCTACTAAATGGTTGAGAAATAATGTGTATGTTGTTTCAAGTAATACAAATATTTAGGGGGAAAAAAAGACAGTAATTAATTTCATAGCCCCAGGGCACACTTTAGCCAAACTCTATGTTCCCATATAGTTGAAAAGAATCCTCACTGGCACATGATCAATACAGACCCCAAATTATCCCACCTCTTGTAAGCAAATATTTAGCCAATTTAAAAGAACTGTGATGTCAAGGAACTGTTATGACTCTGGGGATGAGCACTTGGGAAGGCTTTCCTCACATCTGAATCATAACCTCTCACAAATATGGAATACTTTTTTTCCCAGTATATAAAGTTGGAAATGAATTAATACTCCTTAAAACCCATAGGTCCATGGCCCCTGGTCTGCAAGAAGTCTGAGTTTTTACCAGGAATTAAATATTATAGCTGTTCAAATGCTGGTTGTCATCTTCAGGCAAATACTGGTATGTAAGGATGGTAGAAATAGACAGACTGCTGTCAGGTGGCACTTGCCTATATTCATAACCTTTAGTGGCATCTTTAAGAGATAGCACCTCTTAATTCAACAGGAAGAAACAGATAAACCAATAGTGAACATTAATACTTTTATCAAGATCTTCGATCTTTATAAGTCTAGACTGTAAAGTCCAAAATTATATATGGAGGTTGAACTGAACAGGCAAGTTGACTGAAATACTTCTAAAAATGTCCCTGGGGCTGTAGATACTGCTAGTATCTACTGCTCTTGTAGAGGACCTAAGTTCAGTTCCAAGCTTCCCCACTGGACCACTCACAACCACCTGTAATTCCAGGGGGTCTGACGCCTTATTCTGGCCTATGAGGGTACCTGCACTCACTCATCTGCACATATCTACACTCAGACACATACACACATGTTAAAATATTAATCTTTTTTAAAAATTCCTTTTTGCTTTTAAAATTTTTTAAATTTTTTTAATTTTAAAATTGAAAAAAAAATTTTTTAGGGACCGGAGAGATGGCTCAGCAGTTAAGAGCACTGACTGCTCTTGCAGAGGACCCGGGTTCAATTCCCAGCACCTACCTGGCAGCTACGAACTGTCCTTAACTCCAGTTCTAGGGGAATCCGAAGCCCTCTTCTGACCTCCACAGCATTGCACAACATGGGTGCACTCACGTACATGCAGGCAATACACTCATACACATAAAATAAAAATAATAAATAAAATTAAAGGAAAAAAATTTTTTAAATAAAAATTTTGTCTATGAGTGTTTTGCTTCCATGTATCTAAGTGTACTCATGTTGTGCAATGCCTACAGAGACCAGAAGAGGGCATCAGATTCCCCTGAACTGGAGTTAAGGAGGGTTGTTAGCCTCCATGTGGGTGCTGAGAACCAAATCTTGCTCTGTAAGAGCAACCAGTGCTCTTAACTGCTGAGCCATCTCTCCAGCCCCCAAATCCCTTTCTTCTAAAAGTTATTATTAACAATAAAAAGATATTTTCCTAAACTTCTTTTCCATTTTTTGAGATGGGGGTCTCATTATGTTGCCCAGGCTGGCCTGGAAGTTTGGACTCCGAAATGCTGGGATTACAAGTGCTACCACCACACCTGGCTCTCCATGATTTCTTACAGATACTCTCCTTGCTTACTTAGGTAACACGTGTGGATACAGGGAATTTTTTTACCTGGTGATTTTTTGCTTGCTCTTGACTGGGCCAGGTGAGACTGTCGAGGCAGCAAAGGTGATGAAGGAAGAGACATGGAAACACCTTTGGCCAAGCTCGCACGATAGGTGTCCTCTGCTGTAGTAAGACTGCTCACAGGAAAGTCACCACTGTGACTGGAGGACAAGACAGGAGTCTCTGAACTGAAGTCACCTGGAACAGAGAGATGATCTAAGTCACATCTAATTCCTAAGAGTTACAGTCTCAGAATATAATTCCCATATACCAGACATGCTAAATTTCTTTTAAACAATTTTCTGTACCATCAATTGATCAGGTTTCAACCCTAGAAGAGGGTCCAGACAATCACGGATCTGAGATTAAACCAGGATCCACAAGAAGCTTTGATTTCTACTGAAGTTATGAGCAAGGGGGTTATAGATGTCTAGGAGTATCAGTGGAGCAGATTCTAATGCCAAGAGTTCTCCAGATCTCCAGGTCTCCCTCCTCTGCTCCCTCCACCACAGAGGTCCAGTGCAGGGCCTGGACTGCTTCCACAGTGCTTCCTGGCACTTTCTTTTCTGATTCCATCTGCTCTACCCTTCTAAACCCCAATCATCCCTAAACCATCACAGGGCTGGAACCAGGACTCATTTACCTAGAAGACTCCCTTAGTATTTAACCCCTAAATTAACATGGGAGCAAACTAGCATACTGTTATGAAACTAAACATTCTAGAGTAGACAGATTCTCCAAAAATATAGAGGATGCAATTATAGTGTACAAAGTGTATGAGGCATACAGATCTTGGCAGGGACTACTGTCTTAAAAGAATTACAGCCAGTTTGCATGTAGTCGGATGATATGCTTTGCTCATGTACCCCTACCGCTACCCCACCCCAGTCACATTCCCTCAGTATATACCAAGAAGTAACTGAGTAACTGCAAAGAAAGGACTCATCACCCCACAGATTACAAACCGTCTTTAAAGCTCTAAATTACAGACAGTGGAATTAGAACGATACATAGAAGTTTTCCATAAGCAAAACCTGTCTGTCTGACAACACTACCAACTAGTCCTTGCCAAGACTTCCTGGCTTAAAAAAAAATTCAAGAACTAGATTTTTTTTTTTTTTTGTCTTATTGAGACAGGGTCTTCCTAGAGCCCCAGCTGTCCTGGAACTTGCTATGTAGACCAGGCTGGCCTTGAACTCACAGAGATTCACCTGCCTCTACCTCCTGAATACTGGGATTAAAGGTTTTTCCCAGGTCTTTATGTATAAGGTTCAAAAAGGGATGCGATCCAAACCCATCAGGTTCCACATTGCATCACTCTACTTGTTTTTCATGTTAGAAGCTACAGGAAAGGAGCATTAATCCTGCCCCAGCCTGGGGGACATACTCAGGCTTCCAAGGGCAATTCAAAAGCAACAGAGCTGGGGATGGAGAGATGGCTCAGTGGTTAAGAGCACTAGCTGCTCTTGCAAAGGACGTGGGTTCAATTCCCAGCACCCACATGGCAGCTAACATCCATCTGTAACTTCAGTCCAGGGGATCTGACACCCTCTTCTGACCTCTGTGGGCACTGTATGACTCAGGTGTACTTATATACATATAGGCAATACACTTATACACGTAATTTAAAAAAAAAGTAAATAAAATTTTTTAAAAAAGCAACAGAGCTGTCAATAGAAAAAAAAAAAACATGAACTCTGCAGGTTGACAGAATCAGGAAAGTCTTTTTAGTCTCTCCTTGGGCGAGCTATACATGAAGGATTTCAATAAACTTGGAAAACTAATCATTTGTCACTAATGGCCCAAATGATTAGCATTTGAAGGGGGAAAAGTGCAATTAGAAACCCTTAGGTGGAATACAAAAACAGGGATAATCAAATGATAAATACAGAGTTGTGTTCCTGAGAGAAGAGGGCAGACAACAATTAGTAGCGGTCCCTAAGGTCCATGTGACTAGCAGAGATCCCAGCCCTGGACCTTCACCCCCTTTATTCACCATGTTTTTTTAGACATCACTGTCAAGTACCACTGGCACCAACCCCCAGAACCATAGGAACAGCCTGGATTCTTGAAGATGTCAACTAAAATCTTCAGCCAGTACATGAGGTGTCCCGACTACCTCCTCTGTCACTGACAGTGCAAGGCAGAGCTGGGGCTGTACTAGAATGCCACCTCCCAATGGGGCCGAATGCCTATTAGAAATTCATAACAGCAGAAGGATAGTTAGCTTCTTAGTTCAATATCTAGTTCTCATGACCAGTCTCTCTTATCACCTGGTTCTAATGTGAAGAACACAAGCAGGTATATTCCCATAAGAACACTCAAGATTACCTGCTCTCTGGATATAAGTAATAGTAGGAGACAGACAAGAATCTGCAGAAAGCCAAAACCCCACAGTTACACACAGGATATGAGGGTACCTTGGCCAAGTGACATTGGTTTTCCATGTGTTTGAGGAAAACTGCATGGCCCTGTGGCTGGCCTTGTATTACCTAAGTCACAGATTTGGGTTGCCAAATGGTAGTGAGATGGCCAGAAAGGCCACAAGGAAGAGTATCCCTACCCATTCAAAACAATTTCTGACATATAAATGAAAACTCAGATTTCCAGTCACTTAATCTGGGTGGGAACATAAAGGAAAGGAGAAATACAACAAAACTAGAAAATTTAAAAGTAAAGCTTATTAATGAGAAAAGGCTTACTGTCTTAGATACTTAGAATGTTCCAACACAGAACAAGAGAAATTAGGGATTGAAGAGCAGAAGATTTAAAGCATTTCTTAATTACAAATTCTGCCCATAAACTTTGTTTGTATCAAGCAAGGCAAATATTTTCATTAACTCCAAATCTGTGAGGATGCGTTTCCAAAGTAAGCCATGGTCATGAGGACCCTCAGCCTTCAGAGCAGCTGGGCTCCAGCACTTTGATTTTATGTAGGCTGCAATAAAAATGGGCCATAGAGATGGGGTTTGGGGAGAGGGGGACTTCTATTTCAACTTGACTTTGCTACCTCAAGACAAATATCTGTCCCAAACATGATGTTCTGTTTGGTTTTTCAGAAACAATTAAACTTCCAGCTTCCTTTTATTAGAAAGGCACAAAGCAGGGAGAGAAGTTTTATGTGAGCAGGAGGCACAAAGAACAAAGTGAGTGATGCAGCAGCAGCTCAGAGGCTGGAGACAGCAACCTGGAGCCTGAGCTTTAACTGTAACTGCACAGGGCAGGGGGGTAGGGTCAAAGAAAGCCCAGAGCAACCCACCAACACCAGAAGCAGAAAATGGAAATGTCTTAGGGGCATACACATGAATAATGCGTTATATTCTGAGCAACATGACACCAGAAAATCCCTGGTTGATTCCTCAGCAGATCCTTAAAAGAGGAATTAGACATTTATTTCACTACAACAACCTGCATGGCTGGAACATTTCTTTCAGCCTTGATTTTTTTTTTTTTTTTTTAACTGCAACTTACTTTGTTCCTCATCTCAATTAAGTAATGGGAAGCACACTTCAGTCAGCCTTCCCGTGGCTGCAGCAGAAAGGCCCAGGCCTGGCCGGACAATGCATCCTCTCCAGGGTGTGCAAACCATGTTATCAATGACCAGAGTTTGCCAGGCTCCCCCAGCTTCACTGGCAGGTGTTTCCCATGGAACATTTATACACCATAGAGAATCACGTCAATCCCAGCAGGCTTTCATGTCAGAGAGTCTCTGGTTCAATCACACCTCTCACAGACAGAGAATTGGGACCAGCATTTACTGGGAGGAACAGAGGACTCAGCTGGAGCTGCAAGCTTGGATTACAACAAACCACTTCCACTTATTTAAGAATGCTGGGAAAATGGAGATTTCCAAAAGAAACACATGTTACACAAATTAAATATGTAAGGGAAAACACACTTGCTGCTAAAAGGCCTCATAGTATTTTAGGGTCTGTGTAAGTTCTGCGCAGTCTCTGACATTCATACAAAAACATGCGTAAACACACCCCTTTTCCTATTTTAAAATCATGGATTCCCTGAATTCTAGGAAGAGCATGGAGCCAAGTGGACACTCATAAGGTCTTCTGTGTTTATAATAAATCAAAATTAAAGCATACACATAAAAGTATAAGAATGAAAGTCATATGCATAAAGATAATGGAATCACCAAAGGGAATAAAGACATCCAATAAAGCATTTTAAATTGGCAGAAATGGCTTCTGATAATAGGTCTTTATTTTAACTTTTCTTTTCACTATTACAGACTTTGAATAGGGATTTAAATGTACAATGGAAGGAAAATGTGAATCTAGGAGATGAATGTTTAAAGGTGGCTGTGCAGAATGGCAAAGTCCGACATTGCAGATTAAAGTACACGGAGTGCAAGATTAGAGAGGGCTTTAAAAAACGAGGGCAGCAAAGGCAGGCAGATGAAAGCAAAGCCTATTTCAGAAAGGGTAGACCTAAGAAAGGCAAGGGTGAACTCAGACATTCAGGTAAATAGGTCTACAGAGGCAAGAAACAAGATTTCCATTTATCGTGCCACTGAAGTGGCTAGGGAAGGCGGGGGATGGAAGCTCAGAATAGAAAGAGAAAGATGTTCTGTTTATCCAGCTCCAGAAAACGGAACTCAGGCAATACATTTAACTAGGGCATTAAATGTATTACAGAATCTTTTATGTGGTTCCCGCTTCTGAGTGCACTGTTTCTTAAACATATTTTCCATCATTAGGTTTTATAACCACATAACTCATATATATTTACAGAAATCCAGCAAGTTGGAAAAGGTTTCCTCCAAGATCCAGTATCATATTTGAACCCTACAGAAGGGCCCTCTCTGCAACTGAAAGCACGTTAAAGCACTTTATGTCTTACATGATCTCCTAACATCTGGACAGACCAACTGATCCTTAAATGGCTTCTGATGGCTTCTTTTCACATTTTCAAAAAGAAAGGATAAGTGGATCCAAGTAAACAATTTTCTAAAACATATTTACATAATCAGGACTAATTCTCAAACAATACCACCAAGAGGAAAGAAAACAGCTAACCCTCAGAATCCAGAAAATACTAGCCAACTGGACAAATGGCTCCTTTTGTCTTCAGATATCCCACAAGTGCCTTCTAAATACTGATCAGCAAGTATTGTCCTCATACTACACATTACAGAAACACATGTACAAATGTGCTTTATCCTCAAACAGATGAGTGAACAGTCT